TCTTAGGGAAGTGTACATAATAACACATAACACTCTAGATCTCTACATATAGATTATCTGATACATTGAGTTGAATAAAATATTCCATCTGAAAAATATGAATAATTGAATCCCAAATGTATAGTTCTGCTTTTCTTAATCCAGAAAATGTCTTTAGATGGTCACAGTCAGATTTTCAGAAATAGGATTTGACGTTCGGTAGATTTCAGGAGCCAGTGTTAGCAACATGCCACATACGATGGAGAGCGCCCTGGATTGAGGTCAGAAGACCTGAGTTTCATTAGAAGCCTTGATTCTAACGTGTGGGTAAGCTAGTGAATCTTTCTGAGCCTCAGTTTCTTTATCTGGAAAATGCAAATAACATCACTTATACTGTGAATTGCTTAGTCAGTCATAAAAGTCAAGAGCCTATGATTTCATTGGTATGGGTACCCCTCTGCTGATACATGTCACAGTCTCTTCGCACCTTACTACACAGTCTTCTTGAATCCCTTTGGCTAAGCTTCCAATGATGAGCCTTTCTGCATCTAGCTACGCAGCTCCTTAGATGAAAGATACCACTCATCACCAAAGCTCCCAGCTTGAGGTCTTATTCTTAGAGCTTTGTAAGACCAAGAATCACTTCTTTGCCAGTTATAAAACACCAAAGGAATATTTTAGTACAGTGTAAATCACAAAATGCTCTTTAAATGTGAGTTGCCATTATTAAACCAGCTAAAATTCAACCATAGATCTGAACCACTGACTAACAAAGTAGTCGTCCTCATATCTTCCTTCCTGATCCATTACCACCTCAGATGGAGATGCTATTAAGCAGTGGTAATACAGTCTTGCTTGGCTCCTATCCACGAGGATTTATCATTGAAGCAGAAAAAGGGCCTTCTTCTTCGGCAGTCTTCGAGCTCTAAGGAAGCCCTGCATTGTGGGCCTCTAGCTAATGAGCTCTCTGAGCATGGATATGTTGCTTTGTAAATGCTTTTAATTGCTGTTAAGTTGGCAGGAATGGCAGAGCATTTGGAGATATAACCTGCTTCATAATGACACTGATAGATCCATCAGAGATCGAAAGAACAAAGCCCAAGTATTCAACAAATGCAGAGCAAACACTTTGAAGTTCATGAGCCTAAGAGAGAAGCGTAGAAAGCAGCTAGGCTCAGTTCAGTCATTTTTCAGTTGTGTCCAACTCTCCATGAGGCCAAGAGAAAAATTGCTGGCTTATGGTCCAAGTTTCTCTTTCAAAACCTATGCTGGGGAAGCCAGGTCAAGTCAGTTTTATTTCTTTATGTGTTACTATGCATGAGCCTCACTTAAGTCCTACTTTGAGTCATGATGATGATTCTGGATTCTGGTAGAGTGAAAGCTTTGTTTAGGACCAGGAAATATGGAGAAAACCAGTGAGGTCTCTCATACAATTACACGCCTGGCCAAGGTGGGAGGGGTGCTGGACAAACTCTAATCATATTAAGTTGGAAATGGCTTCAATGTGCGTTGGTGGAGGAGCGACTTACACAGATGAAATGAGATATCCTTAAATACATAATTTGCTAATTCAAGGTAGTGTATTCTGGGCTTGGCCATTTATTCAACATTTTCATCATTCATCAAGCTAATCTTGAATAGTAAACGTACTCTTGAATGTCGACACCAACACCATACTCTGCCATCCAGTGATGCTGGCTTCCTTGCTCTTCCTCTTACAAGATGCTCCATTTCCCCACTCTGAGAATTTTCCCAGGCTACTATCCTCCATTCCGCAGAATGCTTACCTTCCTCACCTATTCCTCTTGGCTTCCTGGATTTCTGTCATGTCCCAGCTAAAGACTATGTTGTTTTATTGTTCAGTCATTTTAATCATGTCCAATTCTTTGTGCCTCCATTTGGGGTTTTCTTGGCCAAGATAATGAAGTGGTTTGCCATTTCCTTCTCCAGCTCATTTGCAGATGAGGAAGTGGGCAAACAGGGTTAAGTGACTTGCCCAGGGTCACACAGCTAGTGTCAGAGCCTGGTTTGAACTCATGAACATGAGTCTTCCTGATTCTAAGCCCAGTACACTATCTGCTGCTCACCTAGCTGCCCATATACACTCTACTTGCTCTATATGAATAATATCTCATTGTATGTTCATTACTTACCATATCTGCAATAAAGCTATAACAAAGAGTTGCCTGAAAAGTTAAGCTTTTTCTTCAATTAGATCATAATTCCATTTTCTATGGGGCTTCTCTCTCCTTTCTCCCTCCTGCATCCAGTATCCTTTACCTTTCTTTCATCAATTAATTACATCCACTTAGCTCTATCAAGCTTGGAAATTAGCAGATAGATTGGAAGGCATTCACCCTTTGGTAGTCGAAGTTAGGATTTATTCACACCATGAGGTTAATAAGAAAGTGCTGAGCTACTTAGGAATATGATAGAAGAAGCTAAGGCACTGTTAGCTTTCAGGCATGTTCACTTATGCTCCTTTCCTCATTTGCTCCTTCTTTAGTGGACAATATTTTAGGGGAGTTATAATTGGTCTGACCAGAACTCGTTTTTCAGTTCAGTTATTCAGAGAATAACTAATCTCCATCCTTAAATTGGAATTTGTATCTTTCAGTGTTTCTGTTTTGTAACTCCTTTGAAAATATAACCCTTGCTGCCATCATCCTCTCGTCTTTCCCAGGAGACCTCTGGGCTTTCTTGCAACTCGGATGATTGCCCCACTCCCCTGCAGAGAAGGCCACACATTTTAACAGATTTTGCTAGGTCTCTGTGGTATAGCAAAAGAGAAAGGCCCTTGTATTGATAGTGTGTGGGTGTGTATGTACGTGTGTGCGTGAAAAACTTTGACCCGTGCCAGTTCATCCTTAAGATGTATCAAGGCAAAAATGTTACAACCAAAAGTCTCATAACAATGATGGTGGGATTTGAGGCGAGTTTTAAAGGAAGACAGATGGCAGGGATGGGGAGGGAGAGCTTTCCAAGTAGTGGGAATGACCGCTTGAATAACAAAGTTAGGAGTGAGAGTTTAAGGCCCAGATAAAAAGGTTTATTTATTTGTGAGAAGGACTTTCAGATCACATGGTAGACATGGCATCCATGTCTTAAATGCTGGCTCTCGAATGTGGCTTAGTCATTAACTTCGTGACAATCCACTGAATAATTTACCAAGACAGTTATAATCAACATTCACAGATATTCACTTGACTCACTGGCAATTTCCGGGTGGCAGCTTGCCCAGTGCCCAAGTAGTGTGTGATTTTGACAGTGACCTTTAATAGGACATATTTAACAAGGCTCTCTTTAGTGCTACAGAATAAGACTTATATCAAGAATTAAGGTAAAGTAATTTTTTCCCACTTAAACCACTTGGGAACTGTGATTCTCTTATTCTGTTGGCATTAATTAACGCCAGGGAACTTTGCAAACCTTTTCACTGGTGAGTTCTTCTAGTCATTATCAGTCATATAATGGAAAGGTTCTGCTATGTTAAGGTTATTAAAGATCTAGGGACACTTTTCATCAAAGATATTACTCAATGCATCCCCCTCCAGCTGTAGGTTATTGATGGTGAATTTGATTAGTGTGGGCAGGCTGTATGAATATTTTTAAAATGTTTTGTGTAGGAATCATTTTCTACTCCCCCTACCCCGATGTGGCAGATTTGTGACTTAAAGCGCATGTGTGTATTTGTGTTGGCTTCAGTTTTCTGCCTGACCAGTATAAAGATAGATTAATGCTATTTCATTAGCACAGCAAACAAAGGTTTGGCCTATGAATAAAATGGTGGATGCACTTAATATGGCCTGAATAGATGGGTTTATTCCATCATCCATCATCTTGTTCACCTTCTTTTCAAATGTTCCCCATTCCAAGTGCTCTCTTACCACCCCCCTAAGGCATTTGCAGGGGTTCCATGCATAACTATAGGCAAGATAGGATTCAGAAATAAACAATGGGAGAGAAAGGCTGACAGGAGCACCGATGGAGAAATGGAGTTATCTGATCTACTGCCTATGTCAATGTGAGAATACATGGCAGAGTAGGCAAAATATTTTTGTGGTCCTAATCATGAACTTGATATCTAGAGAAAAAAAACAGCTAGTAATGCTAGGTACAGTTATTCTTTTGTGTTCAGAGATGTTTTTCTATGTATAGACAAGCTAAGTTTCTTAGGTAAACTCCACGTTGAGTATTTCCAGCCCAGGTAATTTAGAGTTGAATGAAATTGTGTTAAATATCTTTAATTTGTTTTTTTAATAGACATTACTTTTCCCTTTAAACATGTTCATATACCAGAAATAAAGTCTAAATGCTTAAATTATTGATTTCTAATCAAGGGATTGGTTTTCTTGTGATAGCTCTGTATTTTGGGCAAATGTATAATAATGCTATGTGTATAGCTTAGTAACTAAACCAAGATACCAGGTGAGGGAAGTAGGGTATAGTGGATAGGGCACTGCCCTCAGAGTCAGAAGGACCATGGTTTAAATCCTGCCTCAAATACTTACTAGTAGTTATTGTGACCCTGGGCAAGTCACTTAACTTCTCTGTGCCTTGGTTTCCTCGTTTGTAAAATGAAGGGGTTATCCTCAGTGGTCTCTAAGGTCTCTTTAAATGTATTACCCTATATGATCCTCTATTTTAGCATGGTGTCAAATGTTCTGTTGGCAGTACCACTGTTAGAGTAAATCATCAAATGTTACAGCCAAAAGGAGCCTGTGAGATAATAAATGCAAACCTGGATTCCAAATGTCTCATTTAATAAATGAGGAAATTGATCTCTAAGTCATGTGACTAAGTAGTGGTGGAGCTGGGCCTCGAACCCCAGCCTCCTGACACTTGTTAATGCTCCCTCTGCCATTCCCCACTCTAGTCTCAGAGGGATGATATAAGTAAATAGAAACTATTGCAATGTGAGTATGTTTTTCGAGGAATGATAATGTTGGTCAAGCCAGATGGATGCTAATTTTTCTTTTTTCTCTGCTTTGATTTCTTGCTGCCGTCTAATCCTAATTCAGAAGAAACCAGAACCGAAAAAACCAGGAAAGGTAAGACTGCAAGCTTTCGAGCAAATTGATTTCAAAACATTTTGTTTGTTGTTGTTTCATCTCTACTCCCCAGCATTGAAGCTGTAAGTGCTTCAGATGACGTATGTTACGTTCTGCTTTGAAAGAATTTCAAGCTGAGGTACCTTCACATTTTGTACTGCTTACACAGTCCTAGCAGCAAATTTTGAGTCTGGTTTTATTTCTTTTTTTCCACCAATACTCCCTTATCCCACTGTGCCAAAATAACATGCTGCTGATAGCATTCTTTTATGAATGCTCCGGTAATACGTTTGTGATCGATTTTAGCACCAAAAAGGGACCACTTGGGTGTTAATTCCCAAGTTAATGAATGTGAGCCATGAAGAAATATGATAGAGTCACAGGGGAGATTCCCATAGTGAAACCAAACGTGGCTATGTAGCAAACTGATGTTCTCTGGGATACTGAGTTGGAGGACATCAGTTTTAAGCTCTGCTCACACGTAGAAGACAACAAAGTATGAACAACCATCGTTTCTTATATAAGCTGGTTCCTCCCCAAAATTATCCCCATGTCCATATAGTTGAGTAATAAGTGTGATGGTGGGCATGGCCCCCAAATGCTATTTCTACTATTTTGGGCTGAAATTTTAAGAATCCTTTAAACCCTTTCCCCCTTCCTTTTCTGTGGGAAGACTCTTTAAGTGGCAACTCTACATTTGGCATGATATTGTGAGGTTCAAAGAAATATTTTCCATGCATATAGCTTCCATTTGCATATACTAGTTTAAGTGTGATCCCTGTTCTCCCACCCTTTACAGCCTGGTAACACTAGGTTTCAGCTCTTGAAGAGGAAATTGCTACAATATAGTCCTTACTATGATAATAAGTTCTGTGTTAGGCTAGGAAGACTCTACAAGCAGTGTAAGAATGATGAAAACGGTCTGTAAGGTGAAAGTAAACTTTTGTCACCAAAGAATTTTAGATCACTAGAAACTGAGGTGTTTTGAAATCACTTCTGAGTTGTTCTTGTGTGACACTGGTATTATTTCCCAAATGTCACCTTAACTCAGAGTGGTGTGAATTTGGGTCTTAACCCTCTTGCATAGAAGACAAGTGAGTCACCCGAAGTCTCCAGAGCTAAGAGAGAGAGAGAGGTAACATGTTGTTAGCCATATCACTGAGCAGAAGCTTTGCATCTACCTTGAACATGACCAGGTTCTTCTAACTTCAAACATTGACAAAAACATGGAAAGTCCATTTAATCTAAAAGTAGGAGATATGTATTACTTTCTAAATAATGTACTTCTCTAAACTGGATCTTGAGTAGAATGCATGCTCATGCTCAGGGGATTCATCCCACTAAAATACTTGGGCCATGAAATTGGAACATATGGTATACCAAGGGGTGATTGAAAAATCCATTTAATCATGTTTTGGGGAACTATGGAGAAATGTCTATTTACTCAACTCTCCAAAAGCAACAGAATGTACATTTCTATATTTGTTTTATATATTAGCTTTCCACACGAAGATTTAAGGAGGGGTGTGGGATTAAGTGAAAGCAAAAGCTATACACTTACAGAATCCTTTTTTGGTTTGATTTCTTTTTTTTTTAAATGTGCCCCCATTGTCAGTTCCTTCTAAGAGTTACTCAAAAGACCTTCAGCAAAGGAAGCAGAGGAGAGGGAGGAGGGACCCTCTGCCTCTTAAGGCACTATAGAATAGCATTAATTGTTACCTTGGATAACACTTTTTGCCAGACATATAGGTATTGGTCAAAAGTGATCTGTAACTTCTCTTTGGGGATTGTGTTTAGGGTGGCCATACAAGAAAAAAAAAACTCTTTACTTTCCACCTATAACTTGCTTTTGACCTAATACTGCATTTCTTAGCTTGATCACCCACTTTATTCACCACATTGAGTTCTGAATTACTTTTTGATGTTTCCAAAAATCAAATTCAACCTAAAAGGATGTGAAAATGATAGTCCTCAGAAATCATGTGAGCAGTGACATTATTGAAATAAGTACAAAGATTCCCACATTACATCTGCTTTGAAGGGTATACATCTCACAGTTGGATGCAGGAATCTGGGTATGTCAGGATGGAGGGAGTCACTCACATCTCAATTATACCCATATCAATGTATGTGCATGGTAGATTCACCTTATAACATGGCTCCTTATTCATACTTTTTGATATGTCAGAGATCCAATCTTGTTTTCCAAATTATAACACCTCTACGCACTAACTTTATGTAATGTGATTGCTATTCCTGTCTTTTAATCTTGCCATGACATAGAAGTTTCTTTGCATTCGGGATTCATTGGTTTTAATGCATGCCTTTTAAAAGATACTTTAAAAACTGAATTTAGGAAGTGATAAATCTGTGCCCAACTTGGAAAGATGTTCATTAATTTTGCATTTAGTACACATTTTTATATAAGGTTGAATTTATCCCTTGAAATCATGATTTGTACTTTAGTTATTTTCCCCAATTTAAAGAAAAAAAGAAGAAAGATTACATGGCCCAATCGAATATAGGACCAGCCTTGTAGTTGGGAGAGCCTGAGGGCAAGTCCTACCTTTGACACCCCCTGGGCCAGCCAAGGACACCTTACTACCCCAAGGAAACTCTCTAAGACTACAGCACAGAAAAGAATGGATAATCCATATCAGTGGGTGGATTTTCCACACCAGGGCATTCTCTAAACCAAGGAAATCACAAGGCAGGAGAAGGGAATGAAGGAAGGAAGGAAGGAAGGAAGGAAGGAAGGAAGGAAGGAAGGAAGGAAGGAAGGAAGGAAGGAAGGAAGGAAGGAAGGAAGGGAGGGAGGGAGGGAGGGAGGGAGGGAGGGAGAGAGGAAGGGAGGAAGGAAAGTATGTTTATCTCTAACAGCATACTGTCCCCAAATGAACTCCTTAGCTTTTTGTTCAGCCAACTGAAAGATCAAAGAGCCCCTCAGTAATTGCCCTCCCAAATTGGACTAAAACTGCCTTCCATAGCCATATTCAATTGAATTGATTGTTTTGCACTAGTTTATAGCTAATTAGAAAATAAATGAAGCCTACCCTAGGCTGCTAACACACTTAGGAGGGAATTAATTATTTCTTTCCCAAGTAATCCCCAGCACAGATGTACTGATTTTTTAAATGGAAGAAGAAAAGCCTAAGTGATCTTTCCTCTGGTTCCTCTTTGGGTAAATTCAGGCCTAGCTCTTAGAAAACACTCACCCTATCTAAGATAACATTGACTAGAAAACCACCTCATGGGCCCCTTTCAACTGAGAAAATGGATCCTCTTTTTCTGAGATGAGGCTGAGTCTGTTGTCCCATGGCTCAGAGAAAATGGTCACCCTGTTACAGTGCATTCCCTAAATACTAAAATTAAGAGGACAGGACTGAGCTGCTTGAGATTTTTAGTGGAGAATTTTCTTTTTCTGGCTTTGCCTGAAGTGAATTTACAAAGTGCTTTTGATCCTTCTGGGCAAGTGAAGTACAGACCTAGGAGCTCCAGTACTATTGCCATTGCTTCCTCCATGTGGTATCTTTTCTCCTAAGTCTTTATCACTGGAACAGCCATTGAATTTGTGTCTAATACGAAGGTGTAAAATATCATGTAGGCCAATGAAGAGACAGATGCAAAAATCCGCTCTTTGCTCATGCTGTATTTACCATAACTCTTTCCTCTTGGAGAGTGCAAAAAGTTCTGACCATCCCTTTTCTGGGGGAAAAAAAGTGTCCTCTTAGAGCTCTGCTTCCAAATTAGATAATAACTTTTTGAAGTGTTGAGAGATTCCTGGATATAATCTTAAATAGTTCAGTTAAATAATTCCAGTTCTAGCTATATGCTTCAAAGAATCCTAGAAATTGAAATAGAAGTGGCTTCAGAAGCTATCTGATATAAGCCATATGGAGTCAGTCAGTCATAAACATATGCTAAGTGTCTGCTGTGTGTCAGACACTCTGCTAAGCCCCTGGGGTACAAAAAGAGGCAAAAGACAGTCTCCACCCTCAAAAAGCTCACAATTTAATGAGGGAGATAACAAGCAAACAAATATGTACAAACAGTATATACAGGATAAATAGGAAATAATTAACAGAGGGGGGCCAGTAGCATTAAGAAAGGCTGATAAAAGACTTCCTATAAAATAATGAGATTTTAGTTGACACTTAAAGAGAGCCAGAGAAGGCAATAGGTAGAGATGAGGAGGAAGATAATTCCAGGCATGTGAAACAGCCAGAGAAGACGTCCAGAGCTGAGAGAAATAGTCTCTTATTCATAGAACAGCAAGGAAGCCAGTGTCACTAGATCAAGGAGTGCATGGTGGGAAATGGGATGTAAGAAGACAGGAAAGGTAGGAGGGAACTAAATTATGAAGGACTTTGAATATCACAAAAAGAATTTTCTATTTGATCCGAAAGGTTATAGGGAGCTAGTAGAGTCTATTGAGTAGAGGGATAATATGGTTGGACCTGTGCTTTAGCAAAATCACTTTGGTGGCTCAATGCAGGCTGGATTGGACTGGAGAAAGTTGAGGCAAGGAGACCTGTCAGTAGACTATCGCAGTAGTTCAGGTAGCAACTTGAAGGCTTGCATTAAAGTCTTGGCAATGTCAGAGGAGAGAAGGGGGAGTATTTGAGAGATATTGCAAAGTTAAAATCTACGGGCCTTGGAAACAGATTGGATGTGGGGGAGTGAGAGATAGTGAAGAGTCCAGGATGACTCCTAGGTTGTAAGCCTGAGGGACTAGGAGGATAGGGTTGCCCTCTACAGTAATGGGCAAAGTGGAGATTAGGGGGAAATATAATGAATTGAGTTTGGGAAATGTTGATTTTAAGTGTACTAGACATCCAGTTTGAGATATCAATATGAAATTGAAGGTCAGCAGAGAAACTGGGGCAGGATAGATAGATTTGACAATCATCAGCATAGAAACGGTAATTAAATCCATGGGATCTGATGAGATCACTGATTGAAGCAATATAGAGGGAAAAGAGAAGATGGTCCAAGACAGA